CAGGAGCCCCTCGGGGCTTGCTTCCCCCCACCCCCACACTGGTTCAGTGAAAAAACGCTAAGAGTAGTGGTGTTTCACAACCCCTCGCGGGAAAACGGGAGGGCGCAGGAGGCCTCCCACTTATTCTACACCTCTCATGGCTCTTCACCGTGCCAGACTAGAGTCAAGCTCAACAGGGTCCTCTTTCCCCGCTGATTCCGCCAAGCCGGTTCCCTTGGCTGTGGTTTTGCTGGATAGTAGGTAGGGACAGTGGGACTCTCGTTCACTCATGCGCGTCACTAATTAGATGACAAGGCATAGGCTACCTTAAGAGAGTCATAGTTACTCCCGTTTACCCGCGCTGCATTGAATTTGTTACTTTGACATTCAGAGCGCTGAGGGAAATCACATCACGTCAACACCTGACGCCGGCCTTCGCCCCAGGTCGTAATAATTACAAGGATTTGGCTTGGCCTGGTGGCCTAGAGTCTAAAGTCCTTGCCTTGAACATGCCAAAATCCCATGTGGGCACCAATTCGTGTCCCAGTGGCTGCACTTCCCATCCAGGTCTCCGCATAGGGCCCGGGAAAGCAGTCAAGGACAGCCCAAATCCTTGGGACCCCGTGCATACATGGGATGCCCAGAAGAAGCTCCTGGCTCCTGGCTTCAAATTGGCTCAGCTCCAGCTGTTGTGGCCATTTGGGGAGTGAACCATCGATGGAAGATCTTCCTTTCTGTCTCTCTGCCTTTCCAATAAAAATAAATACCTTAAAAAAAGAGAGAGAGAGAGAGAAACACCCAGAATCAGGCGAAACGCTTGAAGGGGCTTCCAGAAAATGATCTGAAGCTCAGAGTTTGCACTCTGCAAGCATGGTACTGAGGGACCCGGCAATGCACCCAGCCCAGGTGCATTTGACTCCATCAATAAAGCCAGGTGAGAGGTGTGGCATGCCCTGGGCAGCCTGCCCGAGGAAACTGCCAGGCAGAACTGTGTGAGTTTGGTGTCCAGTGCGAGATCCTCACTGGAATCCCGGAGCCTAGCAGAGCCAGAAGGCACTAACAGATCTCCTGGATGTGAAGCTCTGGTGTGACCTCTGGCGGTGGACTCAGGAAGATCTCGTGTAACCGACCTGCTAAGAAAAATGCTATGAAGCAAAACTGTGACAGCCACTGCAGCGAAGTGAAGCACGGCAAAGGAGGAGGTGTTCTGTTGCTGCTCCTGTCTCAGGCTGAAGCTGAACTGCCATGTGCCTCCTTTCCTCTCAGGGCCAAACACATCCCTTGGGGTGATTATATATTTCATTAAAGCCTTGATGAATCAAATTTAAACAAAAGAAGAAACTTCTAAAAGCCGATGTCAGGGAGCGTCCTGCTCATTCATCCCTTGAGAGTGTGTGGAATCGCCTGCCCCTCACGATTTCTCTTACATCTTGTAGGTCCATCAGCTCTTGTGCTTCAGCCTGGTCTCTTGCAGGAATGTTGCCTGCTGGCATGCAACAAGCTTCCATCCACTGTTTCACTTGGGAAAGGCCATAACATACTGGTGTGAGCCAAGCTGAAGCCAGGAGCCTAGAACTTCATTTGGGTCTCCACACAGGTGGCTGGAATCACGCACTGAAGACATCATCCTCTACCTTCCCAAGTGTATCTGAGGGAGTGGGGTCAGACACCACAGACCTTGGACTTGAACCAGAACTCCAGCACAGGAGGCCACTGTCACAAGCAGTAGTTCAACTTCCCGTACCACAACGCCAGTTCCTGTAATCATAGTTGTAAATAAATATATTTAAACTTGTGTACAAACCCTGAAAACAAGTACAACTCAAGTATCTGAGTGAACTTATACTGAATTTACATAGTTCTTTCATACGTGCAGGACGGAATAAACCATGCTTTTTCCTCTGTAACTTTCTCTCCTTTTTACTGTCACAATTACTGCCAAGGCCCGGCACAGTGGCCTAGTGGCTAAAGTCCTCACCTTTAAGCGCTGCTGGGATTCCTTATGGGCTCCAATTCTAATCCGGCATCCATGCTTCCCATCCTGCTCCCTGCTTGTGGCCTGGGAAAGCAGTCGAGGCTGGCCCAAAGCTTTGTATTCCTGTACCTGTGTGGGAGACCTGGAGGAAGTTCTTGGCTCCTGGCTTTGGATCCGTTCTGTTCGAGCTGTTACAGTCACTTGAAAGTGCATCATCAGACCAAAAATCTTACTCTCTGTCTTTCCTTTCCTCTTCCTCTCTGTATGTGTGACTTTGGTATAACAATCAATAAATCTTAAAAAATAATTACTGCCAGATTGCTTGAAAGAAGCAGTTTCTTTGACTTAGTCATTGCTGCATTCCCGTAAGACTTTTTTGTTAAGATCAACTTCTGGTTGAGAAATGGATTGCAAAAGCTTTTATTCAGTTAGTTTTTACTTCTTTAATATTATTTTATGATACAGTTCTATAGGTCCTGGGATTTCCCTCTTCCTTCCCCCAAATCTTCTCCCCCCGACACTGAGTTCCCCTGTATTATTGCTGTGGTATTTTTCTTCATAAAGTCATAAGTCCATCATTGTGGGCATGGACAATGGCAGAGAGTCCAGAATTCTATTGTCAAGGTATAGTGAACAGTTCCATTGGGAGTCCATCACTGATCTGGAAGTAGAGATGCATAGTGCATTGTATCCCCATATGTTGATCTGATGGTCTCCATTACACAGTTACTATACATCCCGTTAAATGAAAAGTCACAAAACGTAACCAACAACAGGAAGAAGAAGAGAAATTTGCAACTCCATGAAGTTAAATAACATGTTACTGAATGACTAATGTGTCACTGAAGAAATTAGAAAGCAAATCAAGAACCTTCTTGAAGAACATGATGCTACTGTATGATCTATGAGTCATTGAAGAATTTAATGAGTAAGAAAGTGTTTTAAAGAGATGAAAGTAAAAAAAAAAATCAAAATCCGTGAGATGTAGTTTCCACTGATCTTTGTGGGTGAGATATGTCTCTTATAGACAACAAATAGATGGGTTTTGATTTGTTTAATCCAGTCTACTTGTGTATGACATTTGATTGATAGCCTAAGTCATTTACGGTCAGGATTAATATGAATGGGTGGTAATTTGGTCCTGTCATTTTTAAAAAAAGATTTATTAATTTTTGTTGGAAAGACAGATATACAGAGAGGAGGAGAGACAGAGAGGAAGATCTTCCATCTGATGGTTCACTCCCCAAGTGAGTGCAATGGCTGGAGCTCTGCCAATCCAAAGCCAGGAGCCAGGAGCCTGGAGCCAGGAGCTTCTGCTGGGTCTCCCACACGTGGGTGCAGGGTCCCAAGGCTTTGGGCCACCCTCCACTGCTTTCCCAGGCCACAGGCAGGATGCTGGGTGGGAAGCGTGGCTGCTGTGATTAGAACCGGCACCCATATGGGATCCCGGGCGTGCCAGGCATTCAAGGCAAGGGCTTTAGTCGCTACGCTATTGCACCATGCCCTGGTCTTGTCATTTTAGCAATGGGTTGTTCATTGATTTAGTCTTGTTGTTATGTTACTGAGGTGTTCTTCACATTTTGCCTTTGGTTTGGGTCGGTGCTAATCCTCTTCTCTGTCAAGAGAACATCTTTAATTATCATTTGTAGGGCAGGTTTATAAGAGGCATATTCTTTTAACTTTTGTTTATTGTGGAAGAATTTTATTTCATTTTCAAACACAAAGGAAAGCTTTGTTGGATATGTTATCCTGGGCTGACAATTTTTTTTCTTTTAGAATCTGGAATGACACTCCATTCTCTTCTGTCCTGTAGAGTTTCCTGTGAGAGGTCTTCTGTAAATTTAACTGGCATTCCTTTATATGTGAATTGATTTTTTTTTTCACTTGCACATCAAGGATCTTTTGCTTATGTTCGATTGAAGAGAACTTGATGATCATGTGTCTTGGTGAAGACTGCTTTTGATCAAGCCTGTTGGGAGTTCTGTGCCCCTCCTGGATGTTGTTTCCCAATTCTTTCTCTAGATTAAGAACTTTTCCCTTATTATTTCATTAAATACTTAAAAAAAAAAGATTTTACTATTTATTTTTATTGGAAAGGAAAATATACAGAGAGGAGGAAAGACAGATAGAAAGATCTTCTGACTGATGGGTCATTCCCCAAGTGGCCGCTCCAATGTGAAACTAGGAGACAGGAGTTTCTTCTGGATCTGCCAAGCAGGTGCAGGGTCCCGAAGCTTTGGGCCGTCCTCTACTGCATTTGCAGGCCACAGGCAGGGAGCTGGATGGGAAGCAGGGCTGCCGAGATAAGAACTGGTGCCCATATGGGATCCCGGTGTGTTCAAGGTGAGGACTTTAACCACTAGGCTATTACGCTGGGCCCATTAACTGCATTTTTAAATCTAGCTTCTCTTCTGCACCTTCTGTGCCTCCCATAACTCTTATATTTGGCCTTTTAATAGTGCCTTTCAATTCGTGAATAGTTTTTTCGGCCTGCTCCAGCTCTGCTTCCAGCTTTCTGTTTATTTTCCCCCTGATGACAGGAAGTATCTTCCAATTCTGAGATTCTTCTGCTTCCTTCATTCTATTTTGGAGACTCTCCACTGTACTTTTAATTTGCTCCACTGTATTCTTTATTTCTGATATATTAGCTTTCTTTTGATTCATTTCCTATATGACATATTCCTCAAATTCCTTAAACTCCTATTTACATGCTTTTTTGATGTTGATAAGAAGCTTTTATAAGTGTTGATTTCTGTGTCCCCGATTTTTTCTGTGTCTTCCTCAGTTAGCTCTGAGGTTGACCTAGGCTTTTGCTCCTTTGCAGGGGAGTCTTCAGTAATATTCATTGTCCCTCGGACTCTTCTTTTGCTCTTGGTCCTTGTACTTCTGGTTAGCAGAGTCTTCTCTTTGTGGTATGTTTCTAAGCTGTGTCACCCACAAGTCTACAATTCAGTTTTACTTATCGTGGTTGATACACAGCTGTTTGTTTTTAGTCACTTGTGCTACTCCCTCCAGCAAGTTCCAGGTCTGTGTTCTTTTGTTTGACTTCTACCATGGTCTTCATATCCCCAGCTCCTGGTTCACCACTCTCTACCTCCTGTGATACCAGGCTGAGGCTACTCTGTTGTCTGTACAACTTTTCTCGCACTTCCCGTTGGAACAGTTCCTAAGATTAGGTCGCCACCAGGAGTCCAATATAGGTAGGTTGTTGGTGGTGCTGATCTTGCTATAGCCTTTTGGCCATTAGGTCTGGGGGCCACACAGACCTATTTTAACCAGTACAATACCAAAGTTAGTATTATTTTTCAATGTGGGACCAATGCAATGCATTGAGCTCTGTGAGTTTGCTCCCAGCTCAGCGCATGCACAGCTCACTGTTGTCCCTGTAATCTTAAAGCTTTTGCCACACTGTACAAAATGGTGCCTGATGTGCCACTACTAGAGTTCTTGATTTTTTGTCCATCAGGTCTGAGGGCTACTCGAACCTATCTTGGGTGGAATCTGTAGGATGCCATGCTGTTGTAGTTTACTGAGCCAGAAATGAATTCACTCCCAGCTCAGTGCACGCATAGTCCTTCCCCATGGCCTTTGTCTTCCTACACAAAATGGCACCCAATTTGGCTCTATCAGGCAGACTGAGCTATGAAATTTGCCATGAAATTTGCCTACACTGCCTGTCTGGGACCTGCTGCCCTGTCTTTGCTCCTGGTCAGATCAAATAGACCAGCAGGATGGGCAGTTCTTTGTCTGGGTTCACCTCCTGAGCTCCTGGTGAACATCCCTTCCCACCTGGTTGCTGGTGCAGTTCAGATCGCTGCTTGGTGGATGCTGCTAGGTTATCGTTCACTGTAACACCACACCATCGTGTCTGTGCTTTCCCGTGTCTGTCAGTCTCCAGGTGCCCCTCTGCTGCAGTTCTGTCCTCTCCTATTTCTAATGTGCTCTCTCTGCTTTACACTGGCTAATGTTTCTTCATTTGTTTAGACATGTCCTTACGCTGTTCTGCCATCTTGATTCTTTCTGCCTGCTGTATTTTTTAAAGATGTGTGGGGAAGGTAGGAAATGCTGGCCCTGGACATGCTACCCACCCAGCACGGGGTTGCAAATTGCCTGTGGGAAGAAGGACAGGAAGCTATTTGAGTGGGGGCTGCCGAGGGCATGTGTGATAAGTAAAGAGTGAGTTCTAGGGGCTTCTACAGACCAGATGTTGCACTCACAGGTAGGTGAGGGGGCTGAAATGGGGTGGTTTAGAAGAAACCGGAAGTCATTTCTGAGTTGGGCACCTGCGCATGTGGGAGACCATTCCTGCTGCATGGTTTTGCATGTGGAAGCAGTCTCTGTGAGGGCATGCCTGGCTGGGCTAGGCCCCAGTACCACTCTGTGAGTATTGTAACAGGGTATGAGCAGGATCAAGCATCGCTGCAGCACCTACTGGAATAAAAGAGAACCAAACCTGGCGCAAGATTATGTAGGGGATTTGTGGGCTCACTTCTGTGGGACTGTAGCCCTGTGGGTTTATGCCAGAGTCGGGGTGGTGGCTGCCTGAGCCAGGCTAGACCATGGAGCTCACCAACACTTGCAGGATCCAGTCCATGGAGGAGACTGGGCTGGGCCAGGCTAAAGCACCAGTTTGTTGGGACTGAGGAGAGACCATGCCCAGCAGGGCTGTGGCAGCTGTTGGCACACTTGAGATCTGAGGCTGGGAGAGGCCTGGTGTGGGAACTTGGGGAACTCCCCTGATAGGCCACAGATCCCGCTGGTGCTTGTGAGAGGTGGGGCTAGGGGCAGGACAGGCCTGTGGGCTTGGTCTGAGGGCAGGCCAGGCTGCAGGTCCCACTGGTACATATGAGAGCCAGGATAGGGTGTGGTCCACACCTAGCTTAAGTAGGCTACTCCACCAACCAGTGAGAGCTGGAGACTGAAGGTGAGCCATCCAGGCTGGGTTGAAGCAGCAGCTGGCCTGTGCAAGATCTGGTGCTGGAAACAGGCCTGTTAGGGGAACTGTGGGCATGCCCTGCTAGGCCGCAGCTCCCACTGAGCATGAGGGCCAAGGCAGGAGATGGGCTAGGCTGAACAAGGCAGTAGCACCTGCTGAACATTCCTCTCCACATTGGGGACTCTAAGGCATTATCAAATGACCGTCCCCCATCCTCAGGTGCTGATGTAGTTTGACAGCAATGAGGACCTCTCTCCTCTTTCGACCCAATGGACACAGGAGTTAAAAAAGAAGAGAAAAAAAAAAAAGTGATGCATTCACTGCACCCAGCTTCCTCCATACCTTGACCATCCCCACCCTAATCAGATGCCAATATGGGCATGCATCCCTCTCAACAATGTAAACAATGTTTAAAATAAGATGAAATTTTTAAAATATGTGAAAAAAGGCAGAGTGGGAAGGCACCAGGTTCAGCTCTAGGTAAGCCTGTGCCGAGGAGTGGGGTTTGAACAAGGAGCAGGTAACCAGGGGTGCTTGCTTGCCTGTCTCACCGTGCCATGCCTGGCCTCAGCCTTCCTGCCTGCCCAGCTCTCTGTTTCTTCCTTCTGTCCATCCCTCCTCCCACCCTCTTTCCCTCTCTCTTCCTCCTTTCCTTCTGTCCACAGTGTGATACACACACACACAACCACACATACATAGAGAGGAATGGGGAGAGGCAGAGTGGGCAGGGTGTGGGGACGAAGAGGGGGAAAGGGAGAGGGGAAGAGGGAGAGAGAGTCTGAAGCCACTGCCCAGGCACTCCAGCCAAGTCACCCAGGTGCCTGGCAAGCCACCTGCATTCTCCAAGGACAAGCACCTGCAGGGTGGGGACTACATGTCAACACAAGCATGCAAACCCTTAGGGGTCCTGTGATCCTGGACAGGGGAATCCCCACAGTTGACTAGGCCTGTGATGCTGAGCAGGAAAAGGATTAAAACGGCTTTGCTGAAGGACCTCATGCAGGCTGTGTAGGATGACCTAACTTTGTCTCTTGGGAAATTAGAAAGGTCAACTGTGGGATTGGGCAATCTGCCCAAAGCTAGGTAGTGGGGGCACCTCAAGGAAGTTTCCAGGGACCCTGCTAATAGTCTGGGAACCTGCCTAGAGCTGAAAGTAATGGGCTGAGGCTCCAAGGACACACTCAAGCACCCCAAAGCAGCTCTAGAGACCCTACTAGAGGTCTGGGAAGTGATTTCTCTGACAAAGTTCCAGAGACTGCACCTCAGTTAGGTCAGGAATTTAGACTGGAAATGCAGAGGCTCTGGTGTGTCTGAAGTGAGCCTATGGTGATTCCCTAAGATCTCTTCACTCTTTGCGGTCCCCTGTCTCCATTCTGGGAGCAAAGCCCTGGGTGTGTGTGTCCTGATGAAATCTGGGGAGGAACTGAGGGTCTGTGGCAGAGGGTGACTCCAAGGGGCCCAGGCGGATTTCCCACTGAGAGGGTTTGTAGCTCAGCTGCCTTCAGTTTCTGGCTGGGCATCGGAGGGGTGAGATTCCTGGGCACCCCCTGCCCCCAGAATTTTCTTGTGGACTTGTAGGGCGAACCTTTTGATGACCCCACTTCTATAATCCTCAGAGGAGTTGAGAAAAGTCCAATTTCTTGTGCTTTTTTGTCTTGGTTTTTGTTGGTTCTTATGTGTTGCTAATTTCCCACAGTCAAGTCCTCTTTTCAGGGTAAGTTTGCTGCAGTAAGCCAAAATACCAGACCTAGTTACCTAGGAGATCTTTTATTCCAGCAGGATAGGGAAGGGAGCCAAGGCAGAAGGAGGGAGAGGGAAGGGGAACATCTGCCATTTTGGCAGGAAGTGCTGCAAGGGATTGGATGGGCGTGGGGGAAAGAGGATGGCAAAGGAGGATGGGGGAAAGAGGTACCACACCAAGGGGGAGAGACCTCAGTGGAGTGTGCCTGTGCTGTGGCAGGGAGGGCCTGCTGGATGGCATTGTTGGAGCTGCAGGGGGTTGGCAGGTGGGCAGGGATTAGGTGGGAGGGGCAGCTGGGGATTGGTGGGTGGCATTGTCAGGTATGGCACCCTGAAGTTACAACAGATTGGTGGGCAATCCCAGGTGACTCCTGGTGGAAAAATGGCGAGTCTCACTAATCTCCACAGCAATATTGGAGCCACTCCTCACATTTCTCCTTTTTGTTGTATATAAAAGAGAAGTAGCAGTGTTCCCCTCCATGGCTTCTTGGAGCTGAGTTTGGGCTCAGTGTTCTCTAGGCGAGTGTCTCACGGTGGTGGGGGAAGCAGGGAATGGGAAATGTGGAGAGGCTCAGAGCCCGCAAAAGAAGCTGGTTAATAGTTTGGTTAAAAAAAAAATGGTGTGATCTCATTAATCTTCCGAGTGATATTTGAACCACTCAATATAGTTCTGACTTTAATTTGCTGTGTATCCTTTAGCATGTGCCTCGCAATTTGCACCCCTGGTAGAAAAAGTATTATTAATTTATAATATAATTTGATATAATAATAAATAGAGGTGTGCAGTGGCTTGAGCTGTGCAGCTGCTGGAGAGGCTGCTGGCTGGGCTGGGCAGTACCGGCTCAGCTCTGTTGTACTGCCTTGGTGGATGGTGTCATCTTCCCTGGGAGCCTTAGCTGCAGAGAGAGTTGGGGGCCTGGCAGTGCGCAGTGCGTGCCCTTCAGGAGTCACAAGCAGCCCCTCAGAGGCTCTGCCTGGGCTTGTCTCTGTACATCGCAGCCTGTTGCCTCCCTGAAGTGCTCGGGAGCACACGCTGCCACCCTTGTTCCAGGGCGCGTTTGTGGTTTGTGGTGTTGCTGAAGTCAGGCAGCAGGGTTGGGGAGGTGGCTATTGAGAGAGAGAGGGAGAGAAAGTTGGAGAGAGTTACTGCTGTTGTGCCGGATTTTTGAAATCCCCAGATAATCATCAAGTCTGAATCGGTGCTAAGGCATGAAGGTGGTTTATTCAGGTTAGCCTAGGTATCCCAGCCACCTCCCCCAACCCAGCATGGCTGGGCGGGGGAGGGGCAGCCGAGCCGAGGCTGCTAGGATCCACAGGGAGGAGAAAAAGAAGCAGGAGCCAGAACCGAGAGAGAGCCCAAGCCCCCCCAGTTCTTATACATTTCAGGCTATTAATTATACAGTTATGATTTAGCAGGCTTCTATTGGTGGGTTTGAAACAAGCAACTTTCAAAAAGTACAAATCC